CGATTTACTACATCTCAGAATTATCTTGTTTCTACCATTTGTCTTTTTATATTTTGAGACTTGAGGTTATGTGTTTTTATCTAATTTCCACATCTAATTTTGTTCATAGAATTTGTCAGTGGTTTTGTTTTCTTTTGCTATCATAATTGTTCTTTCCTTTTTTATGATAGTTTTGGGGAGATTTACAAACTATACCATCACTGCCACCATCATAACTTAGCAATCTTCATTTGTTTTTTAAATGGGTAATACGTATGGTAAAAATAAAAGAACAAAGAATGGAATAAGAAGGAAGGAAGGAGAGAAGAAAGAAGGGAAAGAAAGAAATAGAAGTATATTTAGGGAAAACACTGACTCTCAAATGCTTGCTTCTAAGGCTCCCTATATGCCTCTTCATATGCAACCACATTATGAGTTTCTTGTGTATTCTTCCACAGCTAGTCTATTTTTGTGTAATATATTGCATAAACATAGCATGTTTATGTTATGTGTATGTGTTTCAACACAATGTACAGCATGTTCCACTTCAATTTTTTAACTTGAATCAAGTTCTAGTGTTATGTGTTCCTTTAAATTGCTGCATAATAACTTGTTCCTTTAAATGGCTTTAAAAGGAACAATAATTTTTCCTTTAAATGGCTGTATAATATCTCAGTATATGAATATTGTGTTTGATGAACTAGGCTCTACATAACAGTGGGGACAAATAATTTCAATGAATTTATGTTTCCATTGTCAAAGAGATATAAAAGTGCTTGGTATATTAGGTAATAGACTGTTTTTGGTGTGATTGAAGTTTAAGTCATATCTCATGAGCATGGAAATTAGAAAGAGATCCTTGTAAGTGCCTAAAAAAAAGATAATCATTATCCTTTCTTTGCAAATAGAATTTCAGAGACTTTAGTGATTTGTCCACTTTTTTTTTTTTTTGAGTTGGCGTCTCACTTTGTCGCCCAAGCTGGAGTACAGTAGCATGCTCATGGCCATCCCAGCATGGAGCTTTGGGCTCCAGTGATCCTTCCGCCTCAGCCTTCTAAGTAGTCAGAACTACAGGCTTGTGATACCGCACCGGGTTAATTTTTGATTTATTTTAGAGATGAGGTCTCACCAACTTTCCCGGGCTGGTCTCAAATCTGCAGGCTCAGGCAATCCACTCGCCTCAGTCTTCCAAAGTGCTGGGATTACAGGCTGAGCCACCGAGCCCAGCCAATTTGTCCACATTTTCAAGCAATTAGTAAGCAGTGAAGTCAGATGTTAACTCAGGATTTTAACATCTAAATCCAGGGTCTTTTCACTTCCATGTTTATTCTCAAATATAAGCCATGCCCTAAACACAGAAAGTTCTGTTTAAATATACAAAAAGCACAGTTCAAAGGTAGCACATAACTAAATACAGCGTTACTTGCAAATCTAACATATCTCATTGCATCAATATTATATTTTTCAATCTTTTGTAGCTAACAGTTGAGGCTCCACCTGGGGACAAAATTGGATATGTTTATCAACACTTTCACCCATTTTTGTCAAAGTTTACAATCAAAAATGAGAAGGAGGAGGATGTAGCGAAAGTCAGAGGGCCGAGGTTGGTTTTCTGCTGTCTCAGGGATCTAAATTTTAATGTGAGTAATTCACAATGGTTTAATATTGTCACATTAAAATAAGTTAATTAAGCCAGGCTCAGTGGCTCAGCCTGTAATCCATGCCTTTGGGAGGCGGGTTTGAGACCCGCCTGGGCAGCGAGACCTCATCTCTACAATAAATCAAAAAAATCAGCCAGGCGTGGTGGCGTGCGCCTGTAGTTCCGGCTACTTGGAAGACTGAGGCGGAAGGATCGCTGGAGCCCAGCAAGTCGAGGCTGCGGTGGCTGGGAGTGGCCACTGCACTCCAGTCTGGGTGACAGGGTGCGACTCCAACTCAAAAACTATATAAATAAATAAAATAAGTTAATTATTTGATTATTTTTTAACACATATAATCAGTAAATATCATTAAAGAAAAATTAAAATATATTATTATGGTGTTGCTGTAACTATTTGCCTTTTTAAAAAAATTGAATTACGTTCATCATTCTTCTTTAGTTGATTTCTACAAGGTTATGTAGCTATAAGACATCTTTTAAGTATGTGATTACTAAACAATAAGTTTGGTATTTAACATCTCAAGGAATATTGAAACAGAAAATTAAACTTTATTGTAATAAACAATGACATAATCTGGTGTTAATTGTAGATAATATATTAATGTTAATTAATTTAGTTTTAAATGGTTATAAAATTCTGGAAGATAAAATATAATTTAAAAAATTTTTATGTGCTCACTAATTTGCTTCTCAGATTATGACCAACATCCACATAATAATTTACAAGTTAATTACTAAATCTACTTAATGAAACTAAAGAGCTTGCTTTAAATTGGAAGTTTCCTAAAAACAAAAAAATACTGTGTTGGTTTGATAACATGATAGGTGTGCAAAAGGCCACGCTTCCCAAACTTTCAACAAAAAAAGTTTTTATTTTATTTTATTTTTATTTATTCATTTTTTAAATTTTAGAGATGAAGTCTTACTCTGTTGCCCAGGCTGGAGTGCAGTGGCATGCTCACAACTACAGTAGCTTGGACATGCTGGGTTCAGGCAATCCTTCTACCTCAGTCTTCCAAGTGGCTGGAATTACAGGCGTGTGCTACCATGCCTGGCTTATTTTTTGATTTACTGTAGAGTCAAGGTCTCACCAAGTTGCCCAGGTCAGTCTCGAATCCCTGAGCTCAGGCAATTCTCTTGCCTTGGCCTCCCAAAGTGCTGGAATTGCAGGCTTGAGTCACCATGCTCAGCTGCTTTTTTTAATATCTGAAATATCTAGTCAGAAATTTGGACACAGACTAACTAAAATGCTTCCTGGTTTTCTTTCCTTTTCTAGAATGATGCCATTTCAGCTTAGTGATACTAATTCTGACAGAATAATGCCATTTCAGTTTAATGATACTAATTCTGATATACTGATTAAGTAAAACATACTTAAGCGAATTAATTGTAACAATATGGTTAGTTTGGAAAATAATTAAATGAGCACACAGGACTTTATTTCAAGTTGGAAAGCAAGTAACAGACTGGTCTGTGTATGAAATTCTGGAATCCAAAGTCACCTTATTTCATTTTTACTGACACAAAATAATAAAATAATTTTTGTGCATTGTTTTATGTCTCACAATATAATACAACCAATTCCACTTGATTCCAGTGTCTTCCAGCTTTGTCTAAGATACATAAAATACTTTCTATTTCTTCTAAGTTTGAAGCAAAACCATTTTAAATCTGGCTTTCTTGGATAAGCACCAAGAATGAGGACCAAGACAGGGAGATCATGATTCTGTAAGAAAATTATCTTGTGCATAAATGTGGACAATCCTTTTAATTTTTTGGCTATGAAGAAGAGGAGAGACAGAAAATAGTTACAGGGCCAGAACGAGGATAAGGCAAGTGAAGTGCTCATCACAGGTATAAAACTTAAAGAACACCAAAAAAAAAAAAAAAAGAAAAAAGAAAAAAGAAAAAGAAAAGAAAAAGAAGAAAACCTCAGTATTTAAGTTTTTTTAAAATAAAAATTAATGCAAACTTTTTATTATGAAAAAATATCAAAAAATTAGGACAAGAACCGTCCACGCACTTGCATGACTGGTCTGGTCTGTCTTACCCTAAGCCTGTTTCCAATTGGAGGAGGCCACAGGGTATAAGGGGAGGTAATTTTCTGAAAATATGACTTAAGCTTGTTTTGGTTTTTAAAGGAAAAGAACCAAATGAAAGGGAAAGTGTGGAGATAGAGCAGAGGTTGAATATATACTTGATAAACCTAGTTTCTCAGTTGGTAGGAGACCCAAGACACATGTAGAGATTTAGCCTCAAACAGTCACAGAGATGGCCCATTCATCAAAACACAAAGAAAGTAGGAACTGTTGATATGAATACATTTAATTTGTCTGGGAGTTTAGTAAATTCCTGTCCTTATTTATTTTTAATTGTCTTTATAATGTAAGAGATAAGATGTTTTGCTGAAGATCAGGGAGAATAATGGGTTCAGAGTTCCGAAAAGAGGAGAGAAGTTTAGACATAATTACTTGAAATTCTTCCATAGTTTCCTTTCCCTATAATCGTTAACACTACTTGCAAGGCTGTGTATGACTAGCCCCCCATAGATCTCTGGTGTCACACATTTTCTACCATTGACCCCCTCCTTCACTTCCCTCCACCTGTGCTCCTTCCTAATTCAGGACCTTTTCAGATGTTGTTAACTCTCTCTGGAATGTTCTCTGTCCTCCTATTTCTCTTGTTATGAATTCCTTCTAATCCTTCAAGTTTCACCTTAGATGTCACTGTCTATAACGTAAACTTACTGTAAAACCACCTCCCCAATTTGTTCAGTCTACTAATTCTCTTAGTAGTTCATAGCATCACCCTGCCTTTTTCCTTTTGGCACTTATTACAAGGCAGGTAGTAGGATTTATCCCAGATTTGTTGTATATATTTACAGGAGTATCTCTTATTCTGAAGGAATGAATATTACTTGGTATGTGAAGTGATGCTCTAGAGAGTTTAGGTGAGTAAGAAAGAAAAAGGAATTAGGAAAAGGTAGAGGGATCCAGAAAATTAGGATCACTTATGAAAGAGTTAACTATGAAAAGTCACTGAAAAGCTAGTGGTTTTCATTTTGTAATTAAATTGATTCTCAAATCACATTCAAGCAAATTATCTAAATTAAGTGTTTGTGTATTACAATACAAACATATCTGATTGTATACTATTTGAAAACCTACTTTAAGGTACAAATTGTCTATAGATGTTTACCAAACTTATTGTGTGTTCATGTAGCATATCTTTTAATTGTAGGGTACAATAGGTATGATTATAACTCATAAATGTCATATTGAGTTAAATAACTTGGTGTAGGAATACCTTTCTTTTTTGTTTCAGAGTTTCTCTCCTATGATTATGTATATTTTTTCCTTTCAGTTATTGTCTTTGGATGAAATCGTTACTGGAAAGATTTCAAAACACCACACTGGATTTGTGAGGGAACTATTAGCCAATGGTAATGAATTTGGGATCCAGTTTCCATTTGATCTTGATGTTAAAAGTAAAGCATTGATACTTGGAGCAGCCTTTCTTATTGTGAGTCTATTTTTACTCTATTTAGCTGAAAATTACATTTTCTGAGATTACTACTGCACCTTTGCCAACATTTCTCTTCAAATTATCTGGATCAATTGCAAATTTTTCCTTTTTTTGACCATCTTCAGTCCCCAAATCTCATCATGGATTCAGTATTTACTTTGCAAAGGAAGCAAAACCTAGAATGTCTTGGAAACATGGTCACTAAAATTTAAATCCTGTGCTTTAATGAAAAATCAGACTAAGTTCCTGAAAATAGGAACCAAATGGCTCATTTAATGTGACTTATAGTTATCTTCCACAATTTAAAATTTATTAATAAATGTTACTTTTTATTTTAAAAAAGTAGTATCTTGTAAATTTGGAAACTATAGATATTGTCTTCGTCCATTGATGCTGCTATAACAAAATACCTGAGACTAAGTAATTTATGAACAGCATAAATTTATTTCTCAGTTTTGGAGACTGAGAAGTCTAAGATCAAGACACCAGTGGATTCTGTGTCTGGTTAGGGCCCGGCCTCTGCTTCCAAGATGGCACCCTGAATACTTTGTCCTCCTGAGCTTTATGTCTTCACATAAGGAAAAGAATGGAAAGGCAAAGGGCTAGTTAGTTCCTTCAAGTCCTTTTATAAGGGTACTTTCATGAGAGGACAGCCTTCCTAACTTATTCACCTCCTAAAGGCCCCACCTCTTAATACTATTGCATTGGGATTTGGTTCCAAAATGAATTTTGGAGAGACCAAACATCCAAACCATAGCAGATATGTAGAAAATTTGTAAAATGTCACTCTTGATTATTATTGTATCCTAGGGGCAAAATGAATATAAGCAACTACTTTCACACTCCTAACATTATGAGATGGGAGTAAATGTCAAGAGAGGTGTACAGAGCTGGATCATGCATGACCTTGTAAGCAGGACTAAGGAATTTGGGGAAAGAGGAAAATAAATGAATTAAACAGCAGATCAGACATAGTTGAAGAAATATTAGTAAACTGAGAGACATAGTTGAGGCAATTATTCCTAAGAGAGTATTGAGAGACAAGGACATATGAAAGTTAACTTTTCCAAATAAAGAAAATAGGCACAAATAGAGAATAGATAACTGCTAATACCAGCTAGGTGTAGTGTTTCACACCTGTAGCCCCAGCACTGTGAGAGAGGGGAGGATTGCCTGAGCCTAAGAGTTCGAGATAACTGCTAATAATAGCTATTTCTACTATTAAACCAACCTGATTGTATTTATTTTTCCTTTTTCTTCTAGGACTACATGTATTTTGAACTCTGGGCATAAGAATCAGCCTGAAAGACTATGACAGAGATTACTGACATTAACTTTTGCCAGTACTCCACAAAATTAAACAACGTGCACTGAAAATATCTAAATAAAGTTTTATTTTACTAAAATTATTTGGATACATTTTTTTACACAATGCACTACATCAAAATTTTGTAACTTCAAATAGCTATTGTACTTCGCTTAGGATTCTGCTGTATAGTTCTCCTTTTCAGAGTCTGGTTCACTCATGCATTTGCAGTCAGTTATCAGATTGGCTGGGGACTGTTTTATCCCAGATAGCTTCATTCATGTGCCTGGCTGTTGGCTGGGGGGAATAGGGCAATATGTTACATATCTTTCATCATCTAGGAGGTTAGCCAAAGCTTTTACATATGACTGTGTTACAAAAGTAGCAAGAAAGCAAATCCCAATGTTCAAGCTTATTTCAAGTCTCTTATTTTTTTACTTAGTAATGTCCCTCTGAACAAAGCAAACCATGTAGCCAAGACCTGATTCAAGAGGTCAAAAATTACTCTTTTTTTTTTTTTAATAAAAGTTGCTGCAAAATAATGTGGCCTTTTCTCCCTCTCTTCATTCTCACCAAGTAGATCACTGTTTACTCTCTGGTCTTAATTGCTTACAATTTCGTCATGTACAAAATATCCTCAACCCTCTCAGGACTCCCAAAAGTCTCTCAATTGTATCATCAGGCTCAAGTCCAGTATCATGTGACCTGTATCTTTTGTGAACATAAGTAAAGATACTTGGATGCAGCTCCTCTTGATTCAGAGACTTGAACACTTAAAAGGCCCATCTAATCTTCAATAGTGAGTCAAGGTTCAAATAACTCCAACAAATGAAATTCATATAGCAGTCACTGGCCAACAGAAATCCTAGAATTGAAACAGGATATGTTTCCAGTTTACTCTGGAGACAAAAAATTCTGCTCTCTGGGAGTGACTTTCCAGTCCATTACTCTGCTTTCTGGAGAGTTTTGACCTCAGATTCTGCAACTTTTTGAAAATCTCCAAATGAAATGACCATGTTTTTAGCTGAGTAGCTTTTACAGACTTCTACCTGCCTATATAAAATTAGAAACAGAAGTGTATTTTCATTTTAAACTATCTCAATCTCTTTTAGCCTATGCTTGTATAATTCCATTAAAAAAATGGGTGGGTTTTTAATGTATCAGGTTTAGTTCACTTCACTGAAAAAAAGTCGCTAGTCTTTTCAAGGTAGGCTTCTCTCTCTGGACTTACTTATAGCTAGCTTAGCTTCTTTATATAACAGCCGGGTTTCAAAAATAGTCAGAGAACACACTCTTAATTATAAGAACATTTCAAGTTTCTGTTTGCTAATGTCTCCTTGGCTAAATCAGGTCACAAACTAAATCCACATTAGAGGGATGTTAAAAGAGATCCAACTTCTTGATGGGGAGAACTGTAAAATATTGTGGACATTTTTTCTTTTACAATATAACACAGCATTTAACAGATGATTTTTCTCAATTTGTATTACCTATGAAATGGCTTTTAATTTGGGATCTTATTTTTCAATTATATGTAATTATTTAATTAAAATATTTATGATGATCCTCAGATGTGGTTGGTTTCAGTGAGAGATAATATCTAATGAACAGGTCATTCTATTAATAGATCAGAAATACACAGCTGGGCATGATGGCTCATACCTGAAATCCCATCACCTTGGGAGGCTGAGACGAGAGGATTGCCTGAGCCCTTGAGACTAGCCTGGGAACTTGGCAAGACCTCATAACTACAATAAATAAAAAGATAAAAATAAGTTAAAAATAACTACACAGACACTGTTCTGGGGGAACAAAAGAGATAAAGATTCAGTAAAATATAATGAAGTGAGGTCTAAATATTTCCATAAAACATCCACTCTTCCTTCATATAAAATTGTCTGGATAGATTAGCCCTTATCATACAAATGTCACTATTTCATGTTCTGGATAAATCTTTTCCTGTTGGTATGAATTTCTGTACACAGAAGGAAATAGCAGGTTTGTGTTTGCAAATATTCATGCTTGAAAAGCTATAGTCTAGATCATTCTAAAAAGACTAGAGGAAAATGGGATTCAAAGTGCAAAGGCATCCTAAGTGTCTCACCCAAAAAGAGAGGGGATAGACTTGAGGCCCAAATTGCCAAGGTAGAGATCTGTGTCTCCTTCAGAGATCCAGAGGTAAATAGACATGTATGCCTAAAGATATCTGTTGGGTGTTGTGCCCTGGGAAATTCACATAATCTCATGCTCTGGCTTGGGGGTCAGAAAGAAGTGGAAGCACCTTTCCTCCAGAAGACGACAGAAACTTAGCCAATAAACTTTATTCCAATTTTGGAGTGCAGTGGCACAATCACAGCTCACTGCAGCCTCAAATTCCCAGGTTCAGGCAATCCTTCTGTCTCTGACTCCCAAGTAGCTGGGACTACAGGCATTCATCATCATGCCCTGCTTTATATATATGTATAATTTTGTAGAGACAATTTTCACAATGTTGCTGAGACTGGTCTTGCACTCCCAGTCTCAAGCAGTTCTCCCACCTCAGCCTCCAAAAGTGCTGGTTTTACAACTGTGAGCCACTGTGCCCAGTGTCCCCAATTTTATATACTTTGTAACATTCCTTAAAAGTCTTTTATGACATTTTAGCACCTAACTAAGAAAGTGAAAGACATCTACAAAGAGAATTACAAAAGAATTACTGATGAAAGACACAAATAGATGACACAAATGGAAAAACATCCCATGTTCATGGATTGGAAGAATCAATTTTGTTAAAATGACCATACTTCCCAAAGCAACCTACAGATTAAATGCAATCATGATCAAAATACCAACTTTGTTCTTTGAAGAACTTTAACAAATAACTTTAAAGTTTATATGGAATCAAAAAGAGCTCAAATCGCCAAAGCAATTCCAAGCAAACAGAACAATTGCAGAGGCATCACACTGCTTAACTTCAAATTATAACTATAAGACTATAGTAACTAAAACAGCATGGTACTGGTACAAGAACAGATAGATCTACCAATGGAACAGAATAAAGAACCCTGAAATATAGTCACATTCCTACAATCAACTGGTCTTTGACAAAGCTGACAAAAATAAACAATGGGGAAAAGACATCCTATTAAAATGGTGCTGGGGAAATAGACTAGCCATAAGCAGAAGAATGAAACTGGACCCCTATCTCTCACCATATATAAGAATTAACTCAAGATGGATCAAAGACTTGAAAGCAAGACCTAAGACTATAAAAATCCTAGAAGAAAGCCTAGGAAAAACTCTGCTGGACATTGGACTAGGCAAATAATTTATGACAAAGACTCCAAAAACAATTGCAACAAAAACTAAAATAGACAAATAGGGCTTAATTAAACAAAAAGCTTTTGCACAACAAAAGAAATAATCAACAGACAGAGCAGAAAACCTACTGAATGGGAGAAAATATTTGCAAATTATGCTACAAAGGGTTGATATCCAGAATCTACAAGAAACTGAAACAACTCAACACAAAAAGAAACAACCATATCAATCAAAAAGTGGACAAAGGACATGAATAGACACTTCTCAAAAGAAGACATGCAAGCAGTCAACAAACAAAGGAAAAAATGTTCAATATCACTAATTCAGATGAATGCAAATTAAAACCTCATATCAGTCAGAATGGCTATTATTAGAAAGTCAAAGAATGACAGATGTGGGCACAGCTGGGAAGAAAAGAGAACATTTGTTCACTGTTGCTGGGATTGTAAGCTGGTTCAGTCTCTATGGAAAATAGTCTGAAGGTGTCTCAAAGAACTAAATATTGAATTACCATTTGCCCCAGCAATCCCACTATTAGGAATCTATCCGTAGAAAAATAAATCAATATAGTAAAAAGACACCTGTGCTCATAGCTTCACTGCAGCACTATTCACAAGAGCAAAATCATGGAACCAACCTAAGTGCCCACCAACAATTGACTGGATAAAGAAAATGTGGTATATACCACACCAAGGTATACTACACAGCCACAAAAAAGAAAGAAATCATGTCCTTTGTAGCAACATGGATGGAACTGGAGATCATCATCTTAAGTGAACTGACTCAGAAACACATAATGGATAACTCACAAACAGAAACATTGCATATTCTTTCTTATATGTGGGAGCTAAAAGGTCACAAAGATGGAAAGAATAGACTCTAGAAACACCAAAAAGGGGGAAAGTGTGTAGAAGGTTAGGGTGCAGAAACTGCTGATGGGGCACAATGTTTACTATCTGGGGAATGGGCCATCTGAGACCCAATTTCCACCACTACACAATACATCCCATGCATGGATACCCCTTGAGTCTAAATTTTAAGAAGATTTTAAAAAGTATTGTTACAACATTTTAGTGGGAGAAGAGTACACACCACCCTCTCTTAGGAAAACAAAAGTGAGATAGAATTTCTGGTACACTGGTGAAAAGTAACTTGGAACCAATTTAATTTAAACAAGAAAATGAATAACATATTTTTGGCTTCAGAATTTTGTGAAGACATTTTATTTCCAAATTATATGACTTATTCACTGTTCCTTTTATGAAACTTCTTTGCCCCTGGAAGATACATCAACTTTCCTTCTCTATTTGAATCTGGGACCATTAGTGCAAGATACTTAGCTCCTCTAAACTTTGTACTGTATATGGTAATAGTACCTACTTATAGCATTGTTCAGAATATAAAATTAGGTAAATTTTAGCAACATTTTTAGTGCATAGTACATACTGAATTGTTAGCATCTATTAGACAGTGTTATTACAGACATATTAAACTCAGATATTCCATAACCACATGGAACATTAGCATAAGAAGAAATTTGGATCTTGGAACTTGTTCACATACTGCTATCTTGTTTGTTTGCCCCATTCATATAGACATTAACATTTTCTTTTGTTTGTTTGTTTTTTGAGTTGGAGTCTCATTCTGTCACCCAGGCTGGAGGGCAGCGGCATGCTCCCGACCACTGCAGCCTTGACCTGCTGGGCTTGGACAATCCTTCCACTTCAGCCTTTCATGTAGCTGGAACTATAGGAATATGCTACCATGTCTGGCTAATTTTTATTTATTGTAGAGATGAGA